GGATAGACAGCAGCGGAGAGAATCGCTTTGGGATACTTTAGTTGATCAATTTGTGAGGAGGAAATATTCATCGTTTAGTGAGCCTTTGGTTGAGGCAAGAATATCAGAAATTTTACCGGATATGGATGATATTACGGCTGAGGTAAGCTATATTAGGATTTATTCAGTTTTATCTTCTTCTAAGCATTAATTTCTTAGGTACCCGAGCGTACAGACTCATCAGAAGTCCTCGATGTTGAAGCTACATTACGTCACATCAAGGAAGACCGCAGATCACATCCATCAGCTCAAAACCCTAAGAACTTTATGAAATTAACCTTAACAGAAACTGACGACATTGTTTTGTTTGAAAACATCAGCTTGACGGTCCCCAAAGGAACAGACGAAGCAGAAGCTGTGGAAAAGTACAATTATGAATATGACTACTTAACAAAAGGACCTGGAAAGAACCGTCGAACATGCGAAGCAGAAGTACAAACTGAAAATGTTCTTGTTAAGTCTCGAAGTGCCAATACAGAAAGAATCAAGAAGCAAGACCAAGAATCATTTGTCAGTAATTTTGAGATGTTTGACACTTATGCTGAGTTGGCGAAAAGAACAAAAGAAATTCAACTTGATGACGAGTCACATCGCAAGATTGAAGTAACGACTTACTGCCGGGAAGGTGAAAATATCGACGAGATGCTCAACTCAAATGAAAATTTCCATCTTTCATCCATGATTTTGCAAAGACTGCTTGCTGGAAATGTCTATCGTGAACGACAAAGACGGTTCCGTAACATGATTGATACTAATCCACTGGATTTGAATATTAAGTATCTCTATCGTCTGCAAACATTGTGGACGTACAAAAGCGTTGACACGATGGGAAAAGATGTTGTAGACATGAGCTGGTGCCATACTAATGGAGATCTTCTTGCTGTTGGATATGGAACTTATTATTATCTTGAAAGTAAGAACCGAACATCTGGTGCTGTTCTTTTGTGGAGCATAAAGAATCCAGTAAATCCAGAGCGTCGATACCGTTACAGAACTCCAGTCACAGCTGTTGAATTTTCCAAACAGACACCACAGCTCCTTGCAGTTGCTTTATTTGATGGAACTATTGAAATTCTCGATGTATCTGATGAAAGTAATGCAGCTGTTGAGCATCATATTGTTGTGGCTAAAAGTGAACGAATTTCATCGCCTGGATATGAACCTGTTTGGCAGATCCAGTGGATGAAAATCAAAGACAAGGAATTCATCATTACAGGCTCACAGGATGGAAGAATCATGAAATATGAAATCGCAACTGGTCCTTATCTTGTTGGGTACAGACAATTGCGACTTGACAGAATTGAAGGAGTTGTTGAGGCACTGCACGTTGAGCATAAAAAAACTTTTATAGAAGCTGATCGACATCCACAAGCTTTGTGTCTTCAAAAGCATCCATTAAATACAGACATGTATTTTGTTGGAACTGACGAAGGATGTATTCATATTTGCTCAATTAACTTCCCACATCAGCATTTGAGTGTCTTACAAGTTCATCACAGTGGTGTCTATTCCATCCACTTCTCTCCATTTTCACCAAAAATATACTTAACATGTGGAAGTGACTGGACAATCCGAATCTGGATCGAAGACATTTTTGAACCAATTATTGAATTATCTGATGGATTCTCAGCAATCCATACTGCATATTGGTCACCGATACACTCAACAATCATAGCTAGTTGCACTCACGATGCTGTTCAAATTTGGGATTTAAGAAGGAAAAACTTGAAGCCAGCATCAACGCGAACATTTGAAAATCGTCAAATAAGTATTATCAAATTTACACCATGTGGGCGTTCACTGCTTGTTGGTGATGAAGAAGGAAATGTGCACGTATGCTCACTTGAAGATTTTCCATTTCCACCTCATTTTCAGTACGATGAGTTGCAGAAATCGCTGTTTCGATCATTGACAAATAAACAGGAACTTGAGAAGCAGGTTAAGCAGTTGGGATATTTGGGGTATGGAGTTGATCAGAAATCTGATGTGTCATGTAAATCTTAAAAGTGGATTTTTTTGGAGTGAATAAAACGGAATTTGAATTTATTTAATTACATTCATGCAAGCGTGTAGACAGAGGGGGGAGGGGGGGGGGAGATTTTGGGGACAAAATGAAAAAAATCACAAATATCTCCCCCCTTTCCTTAAATTTTTCCATACAAAAAAAATTGTCCCCCCCCCTCTTCAAATTCCTGGCTACGCCCCTGTATCCATGATTTATCTGCCTGCTTGTCAATTTTCAAACTTCAGTCCTTCCCCTTACAGACCTCAACCCTTGTCTAAGCTACAACTAGCTTCTGTACTTAATTTGATTATTTTTTCTAAAACTTTTCGCTCGCCTCATTTTTGTTAAAGTTTCTTCCCTATTTCTAGATATTAATGGCAATGAGAAAGGTAGAAAGTGAAAAATGATATTCTCTGCAGCCTAAATGTCCTGATAGCATATATTGTATAGTGCTTCATAGTTGTTAACAGGGTTGGTAAGAGGTCATTCTCTTATGACCTCTGAAATTAATGGTCCTTTGTCAAAAAAGAACAATGGATTTCCAGGAATTTCTATTGTTCTTTTCTTGCTAATCCCCCCCCCTTGGACGTCATAAGTGAAGTAAGTTTATGAATAACATTTGAATTTTACTTTTGAAGTTTAATCCTGAGTAGACCTCTGAAACTCCAACTACCACTAGAATCCAGCCTTTCGAACAACCTTTGTTCCAACACCAAAATTCATCAATTTATCATGCAAAGAACTAAGAATTCAATTTGATTTGACTTCGAAAACTCTACCTTAGTTATTCCTACCTTATCCTGAACAAGCCACCAACACTGACTCAAAACATACATGAAATATCGACAATTTATGCTTTATTTCTATATTCTATACACTGACTCTTAGCACATCAGCCCCTCCTTTTCAAGTAGCACGAAAATACATGATGAATTAATGTATCGCAAAAGTTGAGATGAAGGCAGGAATAGAAGAAATGATTTTCAACTACTACGTGCTACACATTTTATTCTTATTCTTTGAGAATCGAATTGTAGAAAATGTTTCTATGATACCATAAAATATTTGAGCGTGAGTAAAAAAGGAAATTGAAGTAAATCATTGACTGAACGTATTTCTTTCTTCTTTTTTTTCGTTGCCTGAAGGCTCTCTTGTGACTGAGACTGATTTTTCTTGGAATTTCACTTGAATTGGAATTAATCTTTAAGTCAAGCAAACTTTTCTGACAGTCTACTTACAAAGCAAAGGAAGATCAATAGTTTTTGAGGTCCTAGACCAATGTCTTGAGTAAACTCGGTAAGCTGGATCCACTAGAACTGGATTTATTTAGAGAAGTGTTGTCGAAGGTGGCAAGAGATCACGAGGAAGACCGAAGATCTCGTGGATTGGATGTATTGAAAAAGACGCTAGAGTCCTTAATATCCCGAACTGGCAGAAGGTGTCTAAGGATAGAGCTGTCTTCAGACGATCTCTAAGCGCAGCAATGGGCCCACGTGCGCCCCAGCCAAGGAAGTAAGTAAGTGTTGTCCAAATTTTTTTTAACCCCACGGCTCACCTTAGGGGTAAGCCATTACCAAATTCGGACACAACATACGGCTCGCGTCATTAAAAAAAATTTCTCCGGCACACCTGTGTGTGTAGCAACAAGCCTCCCATCCCTTCATGTGCCGCGGCACACAGTTTGGACAACTCTGATCTAGAGCGTAAGGACCTAAGAACACAAAATCATAAACCAAAGAAGCGCCTAAAGCACTCAAACCCATCAATTCCATCCATTAAGCACACCTATCAACTTTTAATCAAATATTCTTAGAGACGCGAAGCTTTAAATGCTTCTGAGATGATGAAAAAAGTTTTTCTTTTTCCGTGCGAATTATGATTTATTATCCCGAATCGAATATCCTTTCGTGAAATGATTCTTAAGCATGCTGAATTTTACCTTTTGCTTCTTATAAATTGGCAAAACTTTCACGAAATATCGAATATCTTTTTAATTCCGATGATTGTTTAACATTCAGGTGGATGTGTCAGTTATGATCATTAATTAGAAAAGTCAAGATGATTCAATACTTTTAGGGTATTAAAAGCTTAGTAAGGGATTTAAGACGTTACTTGGAAAATATTTTATTAAATTTAGTGGCAATGGATTATGTTGCCTGGATGACTCCATATTAAACCTAGTTTTACTTAGTATTTTTAAGTAAAACCTTGTCGAACTTAGCCTCCCGATAGATCAGATCCTTTTTACTTTCATAATTTGAGGAAAAGAAGTTTGATTCTTAATTTAAAAAAAATCAATAAAATTATTTAAAGCAGTGATGGCCAACTCATGTTGTCGTGAAAAAATTTAGGATATCCAAAGAACCAGGCAAAAAAGGGTTCAGCGCCACTGATTTTAAAGTAAGTGCTTTATTGAATTTTTTGGAAATATCAATAAAATCCTGAAAAGCACAAATCGGTTAATCGATCAGAAATCCGGTACCAAGCCAGTAAAGCACCATGCTAGATTTAAATATAAGTCATTATCATGCCAGAGTCACACTAGCTTGGTGCCAGATTTCTGATCGATTAACCGACTTGTGCCATTCGGGAATGATTCATAGTCTATTAGATCAAAGCTGGTTTTGGTTCTTAGTTTGGTGCCCAAATGTGTCGAAGTTGGGCTTCCTTTATCCACACCCCTGCACTTAAAATCATCCCCAAATACACCTCTGCTTTGAAGTCACGTTTGTTTACCAACATCGTTGTCAAAAAATCTTATCGATCAACATACTCAGGAATTTGATAGCACGCGATGTCCATGCTTAACTTTTATCACTCAGTTAATGAAAATGTGATTAAGTTACTTTCATTATCAATCATCTGGATGGATATTGATAAGAATATTTCTGTTTCTAATTTTAAATATTTTACTGATATAAAAGAGAAAAACAAAGGCTTGCAAAATTTCATTCAGTCTTTAACTGTTGATGAGAACAAGTGGAATAGAAATGGAACTAAAACTTGGATTTTTGCTGCTTTGTATTCTGTATTGTACATCAGCATACAGAATTCGTACAGAAGAAGAAATTGCAAATCGTGAGAACATGCTGAAGCACATCGACTCATTTACTGAACTTTTCATCAGCGAATACACAAACTTTACAAGAACAGGCATTCAAACTCCAACTTTAGAAAGTATGATGAAGATGATGCAAATTCCAAAAGAGTTTGCAACTGAAGAAGTTGGAGATTTGGACGCAGAAGCAGCTATAATGACATGTGTAGCATGTCGATCCACATTTGCATTGATGTTAAATCAGTATCGAACTGGACAGAGAGATAGAGAACAGCTGACTCAGGATTCCATTACATTGTGCTTACAACTTACATCTTACAGTATTATTGTATGTGAAGGTGCTGTAAGGAAGTTTGTGGTAAGTTGCAATTTAAGATTCTATTTATATAAACCTAAGCTAGTTAATCCAATCCAAAGGATATAGTTCTCTTCATTGTTGATAGTCGTCCTTCATTGACAGCTAATCAGATGTGTTCTATAGTATTGGCACCTGATTGTGGGGATCCAGATCCAATTTACGACTTCACAATCAATGTTTCTCCTGGTCAACCGATTACTGGACCAAAGACTGCCTTCACACCTAGAAATTCTAATGAGATGAAGATTCTTCATTTCACAGACATCCATTATGATCCTGTAAGTTCTTATTACAACAATTATGTCCATAACTTATTACTTTATTCCAAAAGAACTATTTAGTCGGTGGATTCGCAAACTGTGCAGATCCAATTTGCTGTCGACGAGTCAATGGACTAGCACCAAATCCTGAAGATAGAGCTGGACAATGGGGTGATTATAGATCATGTGGAACACCCTGGCAGTCAGTTGAAGATGCTTTAAGATCTGCAAATGCTCAACATCCAGATGCTGATATGGTTTATGTTACTGGTGATTATGTGGATCATGGAATATGGGAAACAACTCAGGCTGGAAACACTCAAATTTTCGACAGACTTTATGCAATGTTCAGGACAGTCTTTGGAAACAAACCAGTCTTCATTGTTCTTGGCAATCATGAAGGTAAATAGGAACTTCAAATATAATCTGAGATTCTCATTAAATTCTTATCTTAATTCCAGCAAATCCAACAAATCAGTAAGTATTTAAGAATATCTGACTATCTTATCAAGTATTTAAAACTTTACTTTCCTAGATTTGCACCGCCACACATCACAGATCCAAATCTAGCAACTCATTGGCTTTATCAGCATGCTGGTGAGCTTCCTAATTATTTTGCGATAAGGATAAACTCAATGTTTTTATTTTTGTAGCTACGGCTTGGAGTCATTGGCTTCCAGCATCAACACAGGCAACAATTCGTCGTGGTGGATATTATACAGCACTTTCACCAGACTCGAGACTCCGAATTATTGGATTGAACAACAATGATTGTTATAATTTGAACTTCTGGATGATGTACAGCACTGATCAAATAGCAGAGCAACTGCAATGGTTCCACGACACACTTTTGGCTGCTGAAAGAGCTGGAGAGATGGTTCATGTAGTCACACATATGAGCAGTGGTGGATCTAGTTGCTCTCGTTGGTGGTCAAGAGAATATCGAAGAGTGATTGAAAGATTTCACAGGATTATTGGCGCTCAATTCTTTGGACATTCTCATCAAGATGATGTTGTAGTTTTCTATGCTAGAGATCAACATACAGTTGCTATCAATGCTGGTTGGGTTGGAGGTACAGTAACAACTCACAGTGGACATAGTCCAAATTACAATGTTTATCATGTTGACCGAGTTCATTTCGTGAGTATAGCTTGATTTGAGCAAGTATCTTCACAATTGTTAACATTTATTGAATTTCCAGCAAGTAAACGAGAAGGAATCTTGGTCATACAACATGAACGAAGCCAATTTGAACCCAGCAACTAGTCCAGTATGGCGACAGCTTTATCAATTCACACAACACTTTGGTATCAGCAACACATCACCAGCATCATTAGATAATTTCGTGTCAAATATTTTGTCACGAAGTCGTCGACTATTGACTGACTATTATGGATTCAGAATGTCAAACAGTCCATTCATTTTGGCTCGAGGATGTGATGATAACTGCTTACGCAACAGCTTGTGTCGAATTGTTTCAAATGAAGTTAGTGACAATAGAAAATGTGATGAGATTAGAAACTTTCCACTTACATAATTTGTAGGAGGAGAAAGGTTGTTATAAATTGTATGGCATTAAGTCTTAATAAATTCTGTTGGATGTCTAATAAATTGTATAAAAAGTCTTAATCAATTTAGAAATAATGAAAACTAAACGTACATTAGCCGCAGGATCCCCTCAAATAAAGGTTTTCAGCATCGTCAGAAACTGTAGGAGTTTCTGAACACAACCAGAGACAATGACACATGTGTGACACTTTATAGCAGGTTGGGGGTCCAAAAATCCCAGTTCTAATAGACTTAATATATAATCAAGCACTAAGCATATAATCCTTTTGATAAAAAGTTCTATTTTTGATTCCAAATCCTTCTCTGGACTATAAAAGTGAAATTAAACAGCCATAAAAATTTCATTCAGTCTTTCACTTTTGAAGACGACAAGTGTTGCAAAAAATGGAGAAATTTTTAAAATTCGGACTATTGCTGCTTTGTACTATATTTTGTACATCAGCATATAAAGTTCGAACTGAAGAAGAAATTGCAAATCGTGAGAACATGCTGAAGCACATCGACTCATTTACGGATCTTTTTATCAGCGAGTACACAAACTTTACAAGAACAGGCATTCAGACTCCTGCATTAGATGGCATGTTGAAGATGATGCAAATTCCAAAACAATTCGCAATAAATGAAGTCAGTGATATGGATGCTGATGCAGCAATAATGACATGTGTGGCATGTCGAACAACATTTGCATTGATGTTGAATCAGTATCGAACTGGACAGAGAGATAGAGAGCAGCTGACTCAAGATTCCATTGCATTGTGCTTGCAATTTACTACTTACAGTATTATTGTATGTGAAGGTGCTGTGAGGAAGCATGTAGTAAGTATCAAATGCCGATCAATCAGTATAAATCTAAATTAAATCAATCCTCAGGACATAGTTTTATTCATTGTCGATAGTCGTCCTTCACTTACAGCCAATCAGATGTGTTCAATAGTTTTGCAACCTGAATGCGGAGATCCTGATCCAGTATTTGATTTTACAATCAATGTTTCAGCTGGTCAAGCGATTACTGGACCGAAGACTGTCTTCACACCTAGAAATTCAAAAAATTTGTGACACATTGTGACAGGGTAGGGAGGGGGTCAGGAAATTCGTAACGTATAATAATTTTTCAATTGGACTTCGAAAGGGGGACATTGACATCTGTAGCGAAACTGGGGGGAGGGGTCAAAAAAATTAGATTTTTTGATGAACGTCATAAGTGAACGACCCCTTTTATTTTCAGGTTTTAATCATGCCCACGTGATAATCATTGAAATGTAATCAACGAATGTAAAATTTATCTCGCAGTTCCTTTTTCCTGCTTTGCGGTATGATTTTTCATTTTCTGACTGCCTTTCACTGTTGGTGGCACAAGAAACATTTGCAAATAATAATCTAATTACATATGTTACCTGACTTACTTGCAGCAATACTGAATCTTCTTTTTCAATGCCGGATAAAAGTAAATTGCAGCTCCATTTCAATATTTTTCAACTAGTTCAACTAAATAACCATAATTTGATGATACTTTTATTTTTTACATGTATTTTTCAGCTAATCGTGACCTTTTCTACAGATAAATTCATAATTTATTACATAATCATGTTTCTTTGTTCATCTGTTCATTACATCACGACAATCGAACTATGCTAAATTCTTAAAGTGCCTAATAACAATAAAAGAAGACAAAAATATTCAATAACTGTTAAAAAATTCTATTCATTCAACTCTAAACCGCTCATAAATTTTCCATTTGTTTAAAAATTCTTTAAAAAACAATAAAGAATTGAAATTCAATAGAAAGCTGTCGAAGATCATTTTCATAATGTGACCACAAAAAAAAAAGAAAAGATTTTGAATTAAACAAAAGAAGAAGAGCTGTATTTTGTGGCCATAATTAACGGTTAATTGTTTTCATCAGCATTGCTATGTCAAAAGACAGGCCTAACATAGACAGTAACAATAAAAAAATTTGTAAATATGGTTATAATGATGATGGAAATGAAGGCGATGATGGCAATAAAAAGAATTTGATTTTGAACTTGGAAAGAATTCATTTAATCTACTTTGAGGTCATTTTTGATGTTATTATACTCAATTCTATTGTTATTTAGGAAATTCCAGAAAAGAGTTTATGTAATAAGCAAGAATTGGGATTCAATAGCTTTGTTTCTTTTTCTATGTTGCTACTTCTGATCGTTCTTAGTTTAGTTTCAATTTTATGACTCATTCTTGTAGTTTGCTTTTAATATGTTTTGTTAAAAATTCAATAAAATTTTAAATTGTGAATCTTATTATTTTAGAATTAGAAGTAGAGGCCGTGCATAGTTCAAGCTATCTGGTTTACAGCAGAGGGTGGACAGCTTTAGTTCCAAACTTTTTAAAGTTAAAACCTGATACGAAAAATTCATGTTCGCCAGACTTATCGAAATTCTAGGGGAGTTATAATATGCACGTTCGAAAAGTTTAAATTTGAAAGAAATCGTTACAATTTTAATAATTTTATTAGAGTTCTTGATCGTTTTAAAAAAGATTCAGCTATATTATGCTTATCATTCAATGACTACATAATATTTTCATCTACATTTCATATAAAACTTGTTTAATTTGAGTTTATATTTTTTGTAATTTTCGAAAATGTCGAACTGCAGGGTATGAAACTTTGAATTTTGTATGGCAGACAGACAAATAAGACATTTTCACAAGTTTTCTTGGAAACTTTAACGATCGAATCTCTTGAATTGTTCGTATCAGGTTAAAACTTTTTAGCAACAGAATCAAATGAAAATGCTTTTGTTGGCCTCTAAGCTACACATAGGATCCAAAATTAATTCAAATAAATAAATCAAAACTCTAACAACAAAATTCAAATTTCAAAAGGAAATCAGAATTTAAGAATGATCTGTAAATATGTTCAGCAAAGATCTCACCACTCATCCTTAAGTATTTGAAGAATCCCATTGAGTAAAAACAAGAAGATTAAGGTGTAAGAATGTAAATACAAATGTTTGCTAGCAGATAAATCTTAAGCCGATTTAAAGGATATACAGCAAGCAGCAATGACAACAAAAATATTATTAATGATTGAAAGAAGCTTTTGTCTGAGCCAAACAAAACAAAGAGCATTCCAAGTTATTTACCAAACAGCTATTCTCACGTAAATATTACTTTCGCATATGTGAAATGTATGCAAATATTTTTCACAACTCACGAAAATATTATTTTTTTACTCGCTTTTTTCCGCTCAATAAACAAATTTTTTTGTGAATGTGAAAAAAAAAACAATTTGGAAATCCCGAAAGAAATTTTTTCATACCTTATGTATGCAGCCATATGTATGCTTTATATTTTTCACTTCTTTTGTTTAAATTTCATTTTTTTGGAAAGAAAAATTTTTTTATTAAAAAAATTGTTGTTTTGCTCTTCCTATCATCCTTGCTCTTTCACTACATGTGCTTTGTATACAATCAATTTATTTTCATATTTTTCCACAAAATTTGAAAAATAAAGCAATATATGAATGTGGATGAGAAGAAAGAATCGAGTTGGTAAGAATAAAGGCAAGCAAGGATAAACATGAATGGAAGTCAAGGGGTGTAAATAGTGTTGGATTTGTGTATTTATTTGAGATTATGATGAGATTGTTTTGTGTTTTGAAGATTTGAATCTTGGTACGGAGGCTAAGACCGGTCAAAGAACGGTTTCTCAGGCTTATAAGTCCAGTTACAGTATTCAGCTATCAATGTCCAAAAAGGAGGAAAACTTAATTCTAACCTACAAAGTATTCAGCGTTCAACGTCCAAAAAGCAGGAAAACTTAATTCTAACCTATAAAGTATTCAGCGTTATAAAGTATTCAGTCTTCAACGTCCAAAAAGCAGGAAAACTTGATTCTAATCTATAAAGTATTCAGCGTTCAACGTTCAAAAAGCAGGAGAACTTAATTCTAACCTATAAAGTATTCAGCGTTGAACGTCCAAAAAGCAGGAAATCTTAATTCTAACCTATAAAGTATTCGGCGTTCAACGTCCAAAAGCAGGAAAACTTAACTCTAATCTATAAAGTATTCAGCGTTCAACGTCTGAAAAGCAGGAAAACTTAATTCTAGCCTATAAAGTATTCAGCGTTCAACGTCTGAAAAGCAGGAAAACTTAATTCTAACCTATAAAGTATTCAGCGTAAAACGTCCCAATCTGTATGATTTTCACTAGTGTTGGCCCGTGTTGGCTAGTTTTAGCTGTCATATGATGAGGAACTCCTCGATTACACTCAACCCATCTTAACTTTGTAATCCCAACCACTTCAATGAACAACTCTTGAAGCATAAATTGGTCATTCAAGCTTCATCTCTTTAGAAATTTTATAAAACAAAAATTAATGAAATATTTTGCACTACATGAGCCAGAACAATTCTATACAAAAATAATTTCATATTTTCATTAAAAATAAAATTCCTAAATTGGAATTTTTACAGCACAACTTTAATAAAAATAAAATATCCCATCTCATTCCAGAATAAAAAAAAAACAACACTTATCCCTTGAATATTTTGCATAACACAATATTATCATTATTATTATTATTTTTATTGCCATACAACGACGATCTACATATTCACATATATTTGAATGCAATTTAGAGAATAGAGAGATGTGGGAGTGAGTGTGAGAAAGATATGCATAATATAAAAATTTGATTGCATATAAAGCGAGTGAGTAAGCAGCATCCATGCAGTCATAACATGGCATAATATAAAGAGTGAATTGAAAATTGCTCATCGAGTCAATTGAAGTCAAAATAGGATTATCGTTCTGTTTATTTGCTCATGCTATATTTTTTATTGTCGAGATTTTTTTTTTCGTTGTTGTGATTTTTTAATATAAAAAATTGAGGAAATCAATTTTCGCAAATTGCAGCAGCATAAAAAAAAGAAGTTTTTTCCAATCACGAAATAGAATTGAACAATTTATTTGTTTTTTATTGATTATTCTGTGGCTTAGTGTTGATCATCCTTAATGGACTATCTTCTTTGTTTGTTAGTCTGTGCTGTTTTAATTCATGCAATGATAAATTGTACACATGCAGTCGCCAAAATTTGCATGTGATTCTCACACAGATATTGGCTACAGGTTGCAATAATTGATAGAGGATTAAAAGTCATTGAGTTGCATTAGCAAGCATGAACATACATTTGTACTCTTTTAGAGACTACAAAAAAAAATACATAGAGATTTTAGATTGCCCCTAAACCATCATGTGAAATGCTCCTAAATCTTTTTCACATTACTCTTATTGGTATGAAGCACACACACACACTCAGACACACAAACAAACATATATTCTCAATGATTTAGAGATACGTGATTCTTTTTTATCCTATTGCTGCTTCCATTTTGGTACAAATGAAAAATTCTTCTGTTAGTGCTTTCGATGCACTGCTGGTATTGGGGGCAGGTCGAATGGATTGTACTTATATTTTTTAAATTAATTGGAAAATAGGGAGATACTGGCAAGGTTTAGAAAGCTGTCTGTAGTTTTAATGAGGCTTTTCTAGTCAACTACAAAGCTGTTAAGACTACACTTAGTGTTTTTCTCGAGGGTCGTTTATGAAATCAGTGAGTTGCGATACAGGTCGCTTGTCACAGATATTGTTTGTTAACAGGCAGTGTCTGTGACAGAAAATATATTTTTGCCTGTCACAGATCTGTTATCTCTGTGGGCAGAATTGACAGATCTGTGCCTGTGATAGATCTGTGCCTGTGACATATCGCAGCTCTGCATAAAATATTGAAATAAAGTCAAAATTTAGAGAGCTTTACTAGTCTCTCCCCCCCCCCCCCCATTTCTCCTCCTTCTTGACAACTCAATTGTGGCTAGGATTATGTAGCTTGTTAAAATAATAGGTTAAATCCTAGAATATAATCTATACCCTTAGGCTATTTTATATTCTATAAAGGAATCGAGTTGACTCGAGTTAACTCGAATCGAATTAAAACCGAGTCAACTCAACTTTTCTCTCAACTCGAGTCAACTTCGAGCTCTGCTCCAGATTCTCTACTTTCCTTGATTCTCATTTATTTCACAGTCAATACTAAACGAGATCACTAGAATCTTTAAAAACAATTACTCCAATCCACACAACCATCCATACACCCCTTTTTTTCCAACAGCAATACGTATCTGATGTGTATTATAACTTATTGCAATAAAAACTTTTTTTCCAGTACTACAGGACATAGAAGTGAAGCGAATACGTACGTGCATGCTATTAACAACTCAATTTAGACACAATTTACTACTCTTTATTTTTACTCATATGTGAACGAGTAATTGTTCTGTCGTATTTTTTGCAACGATCTGTGTATGCAATTTTGTGCTGTTTGGTATATGAAATAGGAAAATTTTTTGAATGAGAAATGTTGTTTTATCTGAGATTCAATTGGAAAGCTTTTAAGGTTAAATGGGAGAGTTTTGAAATATTGGGAACAGTTTTTTGTGTGTCTATATTTTGGAAGAGATGATGTAACGTGGTAGATTAAGAGTTCTTAGGACGAAGTTGTTTAATTTGTGAATTAAATAAATTTGAGAATGGATGTTGGCTTTCTTATATAATTATATAATTCTATTGAATCGCAGTGCCTCCAGCTGAAAGGCTGGGCCCTTCACACATTAATTTATAATTGTATGTAAACCATGTAAACACATAAATGACATAACATAGTGCTTTCAAGGAAGTTCCGATTCTTTATTCTACTCAATAAAGGATTTAAGCTCCCAGGTGGACAAAGCTAGTTAAAGTGCTTAGTCACCATGAATAGGCAAGTCAATGGCAAGCTTTTAACTAGTTCTTTGTGCACTCGGGGCTCTAGAACAGAAAGTTGAAATAGAGTGGTTCTCATATATTAGCTAATTGCCAGTTCCAATGGCAAAGCCCAATAGCTTAGTGGTCTGAGCACTTGACCGGCAATCGAGAGTTGAGAGGTTCGATTCCCGCTTGGGATGAGCCATTTCTGTTTTCAACGTTTTTTGATGTATGCATGTAACAAGCAAATAATCTTGTTGAACTTTAAAATTCTTTAATTTAGTAGCTTTTATATTACTCATCAAGTATCTGACCCATTCCTTAATCCAACGTTTAATGGGACACATTGCCTTAGTCTTAGATTAATTTAACTTATTATAAATGGTTGTAGAACATTAAATTTCATTCCTAATCTGTTATGCTCAGGAGTAACCCTAGCAACCGGCCACAGAGCTGCGATTTCATCTTGATCTCTTTCGTTAAGTAGTCAAAGTGTTTGCAATCTTCTGAAAAAGTGGAAATTAGATTTTGGTAATTTTCGAACCAACGACTTTTGAGTTGCCACACCAAAAATGAGCCAATTCTATTGCTATTTGCTCTACAGAGGCATATTCCTGCTTCAAATAGGATAGCTTGTTCTCATTTGCTATACATTGAATAACTTTGTCGCAATGAGTAACAATACTGCTTTAAAATATCCAAAAATAAAGATAAAATATTACCATTTATTATACAACAAGCTATAAATTTACTATAAATCAGGGGCGTAGCCAGGAGGGGGCCATAGGGGGCCCGGGCCCCCCCTACGAAAATCTGATAATTGTTTTATTAAGTATTTATAGAGAAGAACCAGTTAATGTAGAGGAAGTGATGAAAGAAATGTCAAAATCAGCACGAATAATTAAGTTTAATGTATGAATAATGAATTAAATATTTAAACTTATGAAGAATGAATGTAGATTTAAGGATACAAAATTACGGTTTTTTTAATTTTCGAAAATGGGCCCCCCCCTTAAAAATTTTCTGGCTACGCCCCTGCTATAAATCCACAAAAAAAAAGTCCATATCACATCAAGCTCATCTCCAATCTTTCTAACATAATTACCAAAAAAATGCTAAACTTTTCCATTTTCTTTTATGCCTCATTGCCACATTAAAAAAGAAGAAATCTCGCCGAAAAGATGTTTTTTTTTCAATCGCTTTTATACCTCCATAAAACTTCTTCTTGACTTTAACAAACAAAGAAATTACTTATATATTTTTATCGAGATGAAGGAACTTCTTCCACTTCTTATCAATTTTTGTTTTCTTATGAAAAACTTTTTTTTCCCTTCGCAGTTCCTCAAACTACGAATTGTTATTCAAGAATTTTCTGCTAGACATGAACATGTACATATTTTCAGCTATAAATCATTGATTATATAAAAATGTCAAGAACAAGAATAAAAAAAAAGAAAACAACAAAAAGAGACGTGATGATTAGGTATTAATCGTTGTCTCGCATGATAAGAGAGTGATTTATGATAATTTTAATACGAATAATAAAAAATTTCAAAATAAGATAAATCTTTCTTGTCTCGGAGACTTAGATTTGAATATTTATGACTATTGAACATTTTCCTTTTGATCGTCGAAACTGTAAATGGATTAGATGCATGGGAGCTAATGTGAAATTGACATTAATTTTTGATGCATTTTTAATGTGAAGTGTGAGAAAGAAAATAAAGAACAGTAATTCTGTGGCACCTTTTAAGCTTGTCGGACTTTTGTTCGATTTGAATATTTATAAATGCATTAATATGGAAATTTTTGTTGACATTACGGTTTATGGGGTATGGAATGGGTCTACTGAATAATATTTATTTGTCGAATTTGGGACAATTCATCTTTGACGTTACTCAAGAATTGAGATTTGCAGGCACCTTCTCCTCCTTTATGCCTCTTCTTTTGTAAAGAAACTTTTAATTCAATGATTTTTATTTTTTTAAAAAAAAGTAACAACTAGCACCTTAGTAAATTTTTCTGGAGGTTTTTGACCCCCCCCCCCTCCCCTGTTGAACTTTTAAAAAATAGTTCACGAAAAATATTTGAATTATGAACGTTCAGATGGGTGGGGGGTTGCGAGTTGTAACAAGGGGAAGAGGTGGGGTGAAAAAAGTCGGTTTTTTGCGTAACGTAATAAGTGAACGGCCCCTTAGGTGCATCCTCATTTGTTAAACTCCCATTACAACTCCCATTGCAACGCGCAGCTATTGATCTTAAGATTTGAACAATTGAAGATTATTTATCATTATTTCATTAGAAAGACTCCTTAAACCTTTTAACCAAACTTAGTCTAATATTGAACAAAACAAAGCAGTGTTAAAACAGGTCCCTGCGTCCCTTTTAAGGGGGGTTGGGCGCTTCAAAAAAATCTAAATTCCCATACAAATGCCTTGCTAAGCACCTTTAACTCAACTTAAATGATAATATGAATATTTAATAACTTTGGACTCAACCTATTCGATGAGACCCCAAGACACCCATTCATCATAAACTGCACTGATCACATCACACAAAAGTCTCTCGATCGCATTTATGTAAAAGCAATTCATCGTCTTACGAATGAGAGGCATAAGAAACGCACAAAAGAGAGAACGATCAAAGAGTTTTATTTGTGTGTAGACTTGACTAAGGCATTGCTCTTCAGTCGATCGTGAGATTTCAACGTGCATATAACACAAAAGTCTGTTGTTGTCGTTTTCCTTTTCAATTTTAAGTTCGTTTTACAACCAAAAATATTTTTATTCGGATTTATTTTGTTCAATTGCTTGCAATTTGTGTGAAAAAAAATCTGTGATTAATTAATTTAAATTATTCAGCAGTGGATTAAGAAAAAATGGAAATGAAAAAATGTTAAAAAATTAAAGCAGAGCACAAAAAAATAGAAAAAATAATAATTTTGAAAAAAAAAATGCAATTAAAAGTGGAAAGTGAGCATCCAAAGCCTCAAGCTCGAGGTCAGGATCGTAATAATGGCAGCAGCTCAATTTATATATCGCCACCAATTGCAGTGTCTAGCGATGTTAATAATTCTATACCGCAAAATGTCGTGAGCGATGTGGCAGAACGGCAAAAGCCTGTGCTAACCATTCAAGTGAATCAAAATCAAAATAATAGCAATTTACAGCAATGTAATAATGAGAATGCTAATAATCTTGTGAATATCGTGAGTTGCTTTCGTGCTACCACAGCAACAACAGCCGTAAATCACGGCATTGAAAATTTAGTCCAAAATATTAGTGGAAGTAATTTACCATTTAATGTTAGTGTTAATAAATTTGATATTGCCAATTGTAATAGTCAAAATGAAATATTAATTAAAAATAATGAAAATTTATTAAAAATTGATGGAAATGTGTTTGTGGACTGTGAATTGAATATCAATGGTGTGAATCATCAAAATCCATCAAATTCTAAAATCCAATCAAAATCAATAAAGCGTGATGATTTAAATGAAATTTGTGTGGCTGATCAAATTGTAATTAGCAATTCCAATGTGGATTATCATAATATGACATTAGACAGCATCACAAATCAACCGAATGATAAAATTGGATTAATTGAAAATGAGAATAGGAAAATTATTAAAAACAACAGCAACAACAATGCGGTAGCAGCAGCATCAATTAACGAAAATGTAATCAATCAAATCACAATAGTCAGCAATGAGACAGCAACGACTACGGCTACTGATAATAATGTGGAAAGTGTAAATAATCGGAGTAGATTAGAAAATGAAAATTGCGGTAGTAACTGCAAAGTGGAAGCGACATTTCGCGAACAACGAAGGCGTGAACGACGTGAAAGACGTCAAGCGAGGCAAAGGGCACAACATGGACATCGACATCATGTGTCTGTGCATCATTCGAACCGACCAAATGTTGTTACTAATAATAATAATAGTCGTGGAATTAATGGCATTTCTGGCTATGAAATGTTACCCGATATTATTAATAATCACTTACCACCTCCATATACGACGCTTCCACACTTTTCATTACGTACATCTGCTCCAATTCCACCACCTCCACCTCCTCCTCAACCCCAATTAATTACACCTGCACCCATTGTTGTTGATGATTGCCGATTTTCATTTCCGATTCCGATTATCAGAAGGTAAGTTGCTCAACTTTTTTATTCTTCTTATTTTTGTGCTCCACTTTTTAGTTGCTTTTGGAAGTTATTAAACATTTTGCAATATGTGCAGCGTCTGATCCAATTTTCACTTCTTCTTCCTTCTTTCCCATTGCTCAATAATTTCACTTAAATTCAACTTTATTTCCAGTTTTTTTTTATTTCTTCTTATTTCATTAATGTTGTGCATGTCCATACTTAGTCATGTCTCTTATTGTTGTTGTCTTCTTTTCTCCTTTCTCTTTCACGACTTTTTTGTTGTTTATTCAAATTTTATGGATTTTCGGTCTGCATTTGTTTGTTTCTGGAGTCATTTAATAAACATTACATGTTCTTGGACTGATAAACTGCAAGTTAATGATTAAATTAGAATTTTAAAGCCTTTAAAGTCTGCAAAGATGCAAGAATTCTGCAAATTTTGACGACAAAAAATTCTTTTGTCCATAATTTAATTGTTTTAAGTGTTATTGAGGAATGTCTGAGCAGCTGCCTTGCAAATTTAGTTAATAATGGCACGAGTGCATTTAAAAATTAATTTAAGGAATCGTCCATAAATGCTGTCAAATGAAGTTTCTTATCAGCAACAATCTCATCCATAGCAATTAAGTCTCTGATATAGGAAGGCAGGTACAACAGATTTTAATTGCATTACTTAGAAAGAAAATCATTATGATTGCTGCTGTTTCTGGTGCTGTAAATGTTCAATTTGTGGCTTGCTATGGCTTGTAAGTTAAGCACATACAGCATTTGAGTTTATTTTTATTTATTTCTCTTTTCTTCCAATTTCTACTTCTTCTTTCTTGTTTTCTTGCTGACTTGCTTGCTTGTCTTTCTCTCTTACTCTCGTCTGCTGTATGTCGTGATTGTGTTTTGTGTTGTTTTCTCTTTTCTGCCTTTTTCTTCTTCTTCTTTCCATTTTCGATTTCTTCAAACGACGATGACGAGATGAAGGAAAAAAAAAACTTCTTTTTGTGTTGCTTTTTCTGTATTTTTATGCTGTGTATTGATTAGTTATGCTACAGAATGAAGACAAAGTATTTTCTTTGATTTTATTTTTGTATTTTCGAATGAATTTTTTGCTACAAAAATGAATTTTTAAAGATTTTTTCGGTCAAAAAATTGAGCAGAAACATTTGTTGAATAGTTTTTGGACAGGAAGTGACTTCAAAGGAGTTGCATTTTGTGAATTTATGCTTGCAATGGTAATGGGTCTTTAAGATTCTTTGGTTTTGGTTCATTGGTGACGTCACTTAAGTTTTGTGGGTGATCCTTCACCGGACATTCAATTATTCTTATTTAAAAATGAACTTTCAGCTGATTTCATGCAAATAGACATTGCTAGCTGCAATTTGGATACTTTTGAGGCTTACTATTTAGATTTCTTAATATTTTTGAGTCAAGCGCATTCCCAGAAAAGGGTAAGGAGTCATTATGACCCAATTAATTGCAATTGAATAACAAAAGCCATCCAGAAAAGCTTCAAATAAAGCTGAATGGATCAAAATGTGATTGATCAATTAGACAATCTTGGCTCAATAATGACAACTGCTACGAATTATTGTCAAATTTAATCTTGATTAATTTGCTCAACTTCCTTAAAATCCAATTTCACAATCACCAAAAATACTTAAAATATCAATGAATTCCCGTTCAAAATCACCAAAAGATCAGAATTTCAATTACCAAAAATTTAATTCCATCTTCCTTTTACTTTGCAATTTATGAATGAACATCAAGAACTGACCATAAAATGGAAGAACAAAAAGAAGAATTCGCAAGAAAATCTGAAAGAATATTTTCTAGAATTATTAATTTTACGGTTCTTTTCTTATTGTTTCGTGCATTATGTTGTGCCTGTATGCCGTTGTATGAAATAAGAATTAAAGTCGAGAGGAACTGAAGAGGCACTTCATGGTTTTTTACATTTTATTTCCACTTTGTTCGTTATCTTCACTAATTCATCACATTCAATGGCTCTCCTGCCTTTTTGTAGGCATACAAAAAAAATATTCTTTAATTAAAATTTTTTCTCTCAATTTTCTTTGTGAATTCTTAACGACAAAGACGATAAATTAATTAATTTGAATGAGTTTTTTGTTTTGTCGATTGTCGAGTGCCAAAAACAATTTTTCTCAATTTTGATTCCAAATTTTTTTTTATTTCTTGTTTGACTTCAAAAACCAAAATTGTTGACAATTATGTGCTGTGCCCAGTTATTCAATATCATGCCATTACGTTCACTATCTGTCGCTACAATTTTTTCATCAAATATTTCAAGTCATTTGAGACAATTGCATAATAAACTCCAAAAAAGTCAGCTTTTGAAGCTCCAGAAATTTTGTGAAATAAAAATTAAATTTTTATTTCTTTTATTTTCCCATTTTTGGACCTGAAATTATCGGAAATTAAAAGGTAGAATTTTTTTTCATCATCATCTGCTCCTCATTTGATCCCAAAAGAATGCAGCACAAAAGATTCTATTCTACAGAAATAAAATTAGACACTGCTGTAAGCCCAAAAAGAGATCAAAAAGACTCAAAATTAAGAATGAAAAAAAAATCTTTTTTTTTTTGTGCACATAAATTTTAGTTCTGTTTTGTTCGATTGTTCACAAAAGATGGAGATATGAGACTTAAAGATGTTAAATGGTTGAGAATGAAATTTTGTGTGAACTGATAGGGCATGGAGAGCAGGTAGAAAGGTTAAAATTGAATTGCGTAGTAAAATTGCAGTTTTTAAGGATGTTTGGGTTCTTATTGGAATTGATTGGATAATGTTTGATAAAGCTTGACCTTGGTTGGAAGTCATGAAAAGGTTTTAAACTGAAATTCATTAGAAAATGTCTGGAATTTCTCAATAAAATTCATTTTATTGACTTTTTAACCTTGAACCTCACAAAATTCGAAACTAGTTCCATTGAGGCGCATTCATAAATGATGTCCATGGAAAATTGAATTTTTTGACCCTCTTAGACCTCCATTTCATCAAAATTTCAATTGATAATCTCAAAAATGTCAGATTCTGACGTAACTTGTGAACGCCCCTTCAAAATTCATAGCTTCTCCTATAAAGGCGCATTCACAAATGACGTCTATGGAAAATTGGACTTTTAAGACCCCCTTTCCCACAAAATTTTAGTTGGTAATGTCAAAAATTTAAGACTTTGACGTAACTTGTGAACGCCTGCTCAAAAATTCAAAGCTAGTCCCATAAAAGCGCATTCATAAATGACGTCCATGGAAAATTGGAGACGAAATTTTAATTAATAATGTCAAAAATTTATGATTGTGACGTAACTTGAGGACGTCCCCCTTAAAAATCCACTTCAAAATCATAAAGACCGTCAATATTTATCATAATTAATTCCAAAAATAAATCCATAACCCATCCCATACCCTTCAAAAAATAAAAATCTCTAACAATTTACTTCAATTCATTTTATTTCTGTACCGCCGGATATGAATATTTCGAGTGCACAATTTAGAGCTCCCAACATGCAGCCGAGCACATAAATATTATCAGACAGTAAAAAGGAAAAAAGGCAAATGAAACGAATAGAAAACCCATAAATTAGTGTACATGGAACGCCTTCAATTCTCATGCACATGCCTTCTTATTAGACATATAGTAAGAATCCAATTAACTTCTTTACCTCGTGTGTGCCTCAAAGTACTTCATTATTCGATATGCCTTGGCAATTTTGCTTTTTTTTTTTGGGTCAAAGTTGAGCACTTTTCCATTCCATTAAGCCGAAATATTCAGACATGCGATTTTATTTATTTCGTCTGTTTCAAATAGCATAATAGGAGTGCATTTACGTCCATTTGTGTTACGAAATTTTATCAGAAAATTCACCATGACATCATGAGAGTTTCTTTTTTTTGTGTTGCTTACTTATCGTTTTGCATCTCAATGGTTTTGTTATATCCAACTACTTAAACTTTTTTTTTGTTTTTGTAACATGAGCAATAGTCTTTGCCATTTAATACCACACCCGTCAACATGCTCATTTTATGGGTATGAATTGTTTTTGTTGTTATTTTCGATCTCTTTCTTATTTTAATATTTTTTTAAAAAAATAAAAGTTTATTTAATGTCTCGAATTTGAATGACTAACGTTTGAAGTGAATGTAAATTAAGTAATAATTGATTTCCGCGGTATGGTTTGATAGATAATTGAGTAACTTTTTTGATTACGCTGCTGTGGACATTATCCAAGCTAGGATAGAGTTGTAGGACCCACTTCTTAAGTCTTAGGCTATTATAATACGAAATGACTAGTTTTGGTTGTCGCTAGCTAAGGTTTAATGAGTTGGGGTTCATCTAGTCACCGTAAAACTAAGACATGCTAGTTAAGACAGTGGATTTCAATGTCCAATGTCACATCAATATTAGTCAAGGCGTGGAAACTATCCAAAATATCCAAAATAATCCCAGAACCTGTATGCACCAAGGGTGTGGTACTGATGAAATGATCAAAAATTATCAAAAATGATCAATTTTGATCAAAATCTAATTCTTCAGTTCCACACCTTTGGTACGCACGATAGTAAAGATATTTCAACGAATCCTTAGTGTATTGAACATAATATCTTGGGATTTGATTGGATATCTCAATTTTAATCTATACAGGCTCATACAGGCTCAAACAGGCTCAGCGATTATTTTGGATATTTCTGGGATATTTGGGAAAGTTTCAAAGCCTTGATTTTATGTCTCGTATGATACTGGATTTGTTCCGTGTAGGTCAGCTTTTACAAGTCAGAAAAAAGACCTTCACAAGCTAATCATTACGGTTTAACAACTCTAGCTTAGTCAATTTCCTGGGAATTTCGAGGTACCTTACCTACTATGCAGAAGATCGCCGGGATAGTCTTTGAAAGTGACCCTAGTCTCAGTATAAACCAGTGATGAGCAACCTTTTTTATGACAGGGAACACCTTGGTGAAAAGCCATGTCCAAAACCGCATGCAACACATGATTTTTTGACTTGAATTTTTTCGTGGTGAACCAGATTATGGCGCCTCATGGGTTGGCCATCATTGGTGTAAACCTATCTTAGTGACTTATTAATTGCTCGTTAGTGTTCGTTCACTTATGACGTCCAAAATAGTGGGGGGGGGGACTAAGATTTTCTGACACATTCTTACAGGGGACGGGGGGGACTAAGATTTTCTGACACATTCTTACAGGGGACGGGGGGAATTTAGAAAATTTGTAACATCCAATTATGAAATAAGGAAATAATAATCTTTTTACAAAACAAAGCAAGACATTCGGTTGTTTTAGATGACAGAGGGGGGGGTGGGGTCTTAAACCTAGCTCCCCTTCCTTACCATTCAAACTTCCAAAATTTCACAAAAATCCAATGCAAACATCACCTTAAAATGCATATAGTTCTCCCAACATAAAGCAAAACAGAAATAACTTAATCACAGTAAAGTAATTTAGAATGTCTCAACTTATTCCTCTCTTATTGTCGCTGCTGTTATCGATTTATTGGCATCAGCTGCAAATAAGAAACTTTTCTTCTGCCTTCGTCTCAATCTTCCATCTTCATCTGCTTAATTTACTACAGCTTAAAACTATTAAAAGTTTGTTCGAATGATGAGAAAGACACACACACAGAGTTGGGGAAGTGCACAGATGAAGGCAATTGAGTGACCATTAAAACTTAAAAGAGCATTTAGAGATAGAGATGAAGTTTATGTAGATAAGAGCAGCTGTGCATTGTTCAATATTCTTTCTCAGCTAAGTCGAAGCAATGAATGTGGAATTTCTCAGCTATAAGCATTTCTATTTGCTCAGTAGCTGAATGTTAATTGATTGAAGTTCCATTTACGCATGAAAATTGTTTCCATATTTGAACGGTTAGAGAAGATGCATTAGGTTGATACTTTAATCCATGGGAAATTTGTGCTGAGATTAAATTGTTCGAGATTTGTTTTTTTGTGTGGATTCTATTTATGGATGTGGCAAGATATATAGATGGGCTCATACAGAGTATACTTGACCATACTCGACCATACTATTTTTTGTGTACTTATACAAACAAAAATTTTTAAAATTTTCTATTTTGAAGTTTTCATTTAAATATCGACAGATGCAACAACATTTGTCTTAAGTCAGTTTCTTTAAATTATAGCAAAGCATTTGCAATACTCCTGTATCAACAAAACTTAACAGAAAGTTGAAAATTTTGCAAAACAAAAATTAAAAAATTTTCTTTTATAGTGTTAGTGTTTTTAGAAAATTCAAATTTTTGACGTTTAAAAACTGCGATATTTTTGTATGAGCACATCTATATATCTTGGGATGTGGAATGGAATTTATTCGTGTCAGATTGCTTCAAAAAAAAATTATTGAGGAAATTGAAATTTAGGGAAATTTGATGGTTTTTGAGGTCATTGATCCTTTACATTCTAGATCAGTGTTGTCCACACGTTTTGAGCCACGGCACCAGGGGCGTAGCCACAAATTTTGAGAGGGGGGGGGGGGGCAATTTTTTTTGTATGGAAAACTTTTTGTTGGGGGATTTTTTCGAGTTTTTCATAAAAGCTCTAGCAAAATAAAGAAAATTCTCAAGACGAAGGGAGATTTGTCCCCAAAATCCCCCCCCCCCCCCCGGCTACGCACCTGCACGGCACACTTTAAGTGTAAGCCGCACATCGCATGCGGCTTGTTTTATTTTCCAAAAAAATCTACGGAATATCAGTGTGCCGTGGCACACAAGTAGTAATATTATCTGCTTTAATAAATATCAAAGCTCTGGTTTTTCATACAAAATAATTTTCACAAAAAAAGCTCATTTAATTATTAAAGCTTTTTAAGCTTTTTAAGCTTTTTAAGCTTTTTAAGCTTTTTAAGCTTTTTAAAAGTGTATTTTTTCAATTAAAAATAACAATGAATTTCTATTCAAACTTAAAGCTTCCAATTCACAACTATTTAAACATTTAAGTTCATTCATCGCTATAGCTTCTCAAAATTTCAAGTTTAAAGTCAGTGAATTCTAATTTTTGCTAAATTTCATTTTTTCACAGTAGCTTTAAGACGTGTTCCTTAATCATTTAATTTAATTGTGATGCAAATAATTTTTATTTGTGTATTATTAGTTCAATGTACTTATCAACTTTCTATATCAATTCAATCAGATGCGGATAATAGATTTTCTATAAATAGTGAGTTGTGAAAAATTTAATCTAAGTTTAAATATATTTGTGGAATCATTAAGATAGATTAATCATTATGAATTTTAAAGTCATTTTGATTTTGAGTTTAAGTGCTGTTCTTTTGCATGCACAATTCAATTTCCCAAATAGTACACAAAACTTTAATCACTCTAATCTTATTAACAACTTGTATACAGTTTCAACAAATCATCATCAAGATCAAGACATCTTAAAGTCACCAAACCATCAAAATCATGATCAAAATGGAACAGCGCACAAAGTAAATCTGAATCATGAGGTAAAGACTAATCCTGCGCAAAGTTTTCACTTCGCAGAGCCGAGTTATGTGTTCTTTAACTCACAAAATTCAAGCTTTACTTCTAATCACAACCATAATAATCAATATCATTACTATGGTGCTTCAACTTCACATTCAATTCCTTACAAACCACCACCACCAAATTCTCCATCATTTCTATATCCAGGTCTTCTCAGCTCAACTCCAACGCCAATCCCGAATCTACAAAAGACAAACCAAATTGAATCATTCGAGAATAATAATCAGTTTAAACCCAGATCTCAAACTAACTATCAGAGCATCTTTAATGAACCTGAGACAAGCGAAATTGGAAACTACTATCAACCAATTAAATATCAGAATCAGCAAACTTATTTTCGTTATTGACAGCAATAAGCAAAACGTAACAGTTTTAAATTGCATTATCAAAATTATTGAGTAAATTGAATGAAACTGTAAACAAAACTTCCTTCCTGTCACTATGGTCATGTTTCATTTCATTTCCACAAAAAAAATTTAAAAGTGATGATTCGTTATTTCTATTTGTAGCATCGAGTTACATTTAAAATTGATTTTTCTAAATTAATTAAAGTACTTTAATTTTTTCACACAGTTAAAATTAAATCTCTTAGAGTGATGTTTATTTTTTTATTATTGTTTGTCTATTAAAAATCAATTAGACCAATAAAAATTTCTTTTAAAAAAGGAATCATTCTTATACAAAAACAACAATGAAATAAAATTTTTTTTTGTAAAATGAAATCTATTAGGGTTTTATGAAAAGTAAATTAATAATTGATAATAAAATTAGCTAATCAATCATATTTTTTCACTCAAATAAAATGTAAAATCATCTCTCGAAAACATTTCATCATCATCATTATTGTTCATCATATGTTTAACAGTCACTATTTTTTTGAAAAACAGGCGAGGGGAAAGAAACAGTGTTATTATTGTGATAGATTGTTTATGTTGTTTTTAAAAACTTTAATGTATTTTGAGATTTTTATGATAAATGTTGAACTCATTTAAGATAAATTAAGATACAGTTGAAGTTAGTTTATCAAAGTGAACACTTAATTTACTTAATAAAGCAAAAAAAAACAAATTATCTGTTTGGATTTGAAATTTCACACATGTTGTTTACACAAAACATTGTTGGTGAGTATGATTTTATTTTATATATTAACACCGCATTTTTAGAATGATTTTTTTTTTGGTTACTTGTTTTGATAACTGAAGCTTTAATCAACAAAGAGAAATGAGTGAACAAAGCCGTAAACGTAATGCACCACAGTTTTATCAACCTAAAGTTGATAAACGAAAAAATGATGGTCCTCCAGAATCTATTCAACATTACCTAAATAATGCATTGATTGTCACAAATAAAGAAGCACAGGAAAAGGTATCAAAACTATTTCAAAAACTCCAGAATGATTATAATTTAAAACGAAAAATAAATTTTCATCATTGTTACAGTAATGTTGATGAAAACATAATTCTAAATTACATAAACCCTTTAAAAAATGAGAAGTTTAATGAAAATTTGATAAAAGTAAATTATTTTCAATTAATAAATGATTACGCTGATAAAATAAATATTCAAGGAATTGATGAATCAAAAAAATTAGAGTACTTTCAAGCTTTACGACTAAAATCTCAACAAAAAGTTAAAGAATATGAGGCAATTAAGCTTAATCATCTTTCACTTCTTGAAAACACCACAAATCCACAAGAGAAACTCAAACACATGTCTATTTTAAAAAAGATGCAAACTAAAATTGATGAGTGTGATGTTTTTACGATTGTTAATTATTTTAATCCATGCTCAATTAGATTTTATAACAATAATGAGGATATAGAGCTATATTCAGAGGTTGAAAGTAAAATTAATGTCAAAATTCAAGAATTGCTTACAATATTTCCGACTGAATTACATTATTTGAGCGAAGATGATAAAAATGAAGACCTGAATAGATTGAAACAATGTTATGAGAATTTGTTGCAGGAACAAATAGAGTTGAAAGATTCAATTTCTGAACTTGAAGTTAAGATTGTAAATGTTGAAAATAAGCAAGAATTAGAAAAGACTAAAAAAATATTGGTAAAGCTACAAGACAATTTAAAAATAGTCAATGAGGAAATAGAGTCTTATAACAATGAAAATAAACATTGGGATGTTCTTAATAAACCTTATTGTGGTGTAATAAATTCAATAAAGACTTCATTCAATGGATATTCAAAATTAAAGCCAACCATATTTGTGTTAGCTGTAAGAGATCATAAAACGTATGAATCAAGTATTACCAAGAAATATTATCATAACATATTAAATAGTAATAATTGGTTAAAAATTCGTGCGATTATAGACACATCAAAAAGAAACAAACAAGAAATTATACAAAAAAATATTGAGACTAAACAACGCCTTGATTTCTACAAAGAAAAGCCATGGCATTTAGTGTGTGTTATCACATATAGAGACTTAATATTTATTGTTGATGGTTTATTTGATGGATTTTTAAACAATCTGGATAACAAAAATACTCAGCATGCTTTAAGTGCCATTCCTTGTAGTGCTTCCATAATTAAATTATTGGAAAAGTGTGGATATAAAAATAAACAAGTAAACGGTAATGCTGCAAAAAATTCATCATATATTTATTCATCTGGCACTAGAACAACATCTGTTCTCATTCCAGATTTTAGTCAATTTAATGAGCAATTACGAGAAGAAGCAATAAAATTAAATATCAATCCAGTAAAATATATTAAGGATGAGAAAGAAAAGTTAATGAATGAAAGAAAACAAAACAAAGATTTGAGAGGGTTGCCGTTTATTAAAGAGCGATTTAGATTTTGTGTTAAATCCAATCCTTTAACAAATATTTGTGGTTGCAAAAAAAATCAATGTTTTATTGAGTACAGATGCCGTATATGCTTTATTAATTATCAAAAAGAATTTGAACATAATCAAAATGTTGAATACAAATGTTTGTGTAGATTTAATGAACTAAAAAATTATAAAACAGTGACTAAAATAATTAATTTTTGTGAAGTTAGTCAAACATTTGACTGTAAACAGAAAAATCAAGATACAACTCATGTTTGTGAAATTACAAAAAAAGAATTTCTTGAAAGAAATGTAAAAAAATTATGCTATGATCATCGTATATATTATTGCAGAAACCCAGTATTATCTAAAGATGAAAAGACTTTAAAAAAGATCAAAACACAAATTAAAAAGCGAAAAGCTAATGATGATGATGGTGGTGAAAATAGTGAAGGATTTTTAAAGCTTCACGATAAAAAAGTTTTAGATATAGAAAACTGTAGAAATGTTGCAATAAGCTTTGTTAGTATGTTTACAAATATGTTTGCTGATCATCAATTTCATACATTTGAAATTCTTTTTGGAGAAATTGATGGCAATAAAACAAATAGAAAAATAATGCCAATTTCTCATTAAATTCTTATGTAACCATCCAAGGTTTTAATCATAATTCTAAATTCTTTTTCACTATCCCAATATTTTCTTGTTTGTTCTGTATTGAGAACATGAAACAAATATTTAAATTTATCAAAAACAACTAATCGTTTAATGACTGTTTCAAACACTTTCACAGAAACATTTTTTTTGGTTTCGTAAAATTTAAAATATAACAAACAATCATACCTATTTACGTTTCCACAAAATTCATTTAATGTGTGATCTATAATCACACTATTGATTTTAAATGTGGCCATAGTTGGTATATTTTTTACTATTTTAATGTCCTTAAAACTAGAATTCACATTGTTAATGACAAATTTACAGTCATATAACTTTCTTTTTTTCTCTATTTTTGAACCAATCACTTCATATTTTATTGTTGCGATTCCTTCTTGAATACTCATTTTATTTGTGAACGTAAATAATTTTACTTAAATGATCAATTTGACAGAATTCAGCGTAATCCAAAATGCTGGTTTGAAAAATAGCTTTCCAGTAAACTGTTGCTTTTTTTAGATTTTCTGCTAAAGTTGGTGGTGGTTGTCTTACGATTGTGTATCCGTCTGCATTTTCATTGTAGAGAAATATATATGTTTTACAATTATTATTTTGTTCCTTTATAAAACAATGAGTTTTTTCAAAAAATATTGCTACATCACTTTCATTTTCAAATATAGAAATTTTTGAATTCAAAGAACCTTCCTCGTTCATGGTCTTATATTAACTGTATGATGATCCACTAATTTGTATAAATGCAGTTTGATTTATTCAAGAATTATTCATTCAAGTTTAAAAAATGGAAGGGAGAGCACAAAATAGTGAATTTAATTGTAAAGTTTGCAACAATTTTTTTTTCAACCGTGTAAGTTTTAAAAAACATACAGAAAATTGTTGCATTTGCTCAACATGTAAAACTCCATACTTAAGACCCTTCCATTATAACCATCAACGTTCCAATAAACATATTAATTCATTGTTAAAAAAAATAAAAAAAAATGTTGAAGTGATGGAAGTGTGCTGCAAAAATGCATTAAAAATTTTTAAAATTTGTGGTTCCGACATAAATATGAAAGCGTTTTTTAATAAAAAAGTTAATATCATCTGTGACTTGCTTGAATCTGAATTAATCGAGAAGAAAAATTTAAAGTTTCGTTTTGAGATAAGAGCATTATATTTTAAGATATCAGAGGAAGAGTTGGAAGAAAAATATTTTTTCTCAAATTATTCACAGCTTTGTAAAAGTGATTTTATTTCGAGCATTGTTGAGATGCATTTTGATGATGTTATTGAAAAATTAGAATCTTTTATTCTTAGTTCAAGTGGATGGTCTCTGTACTCTATTTTATGTATGTTTGTTCATGTTGTTAAGATGAAGCCTTTAAGAGGTTCATCATACATAGCTCTACCAAAAAGATTATTAAATTCGAAACGCAGTGGAATTTTAAACATTAAAAATAGAGATTGTTTTTGTTTCTTGTATTGTATAGCAGCTGCTTTATATCCTGAAACAGATTTAATTAAAAAAACCAAACCAGAAACTTATAAAAAACATTTTAAAAATTTTATAACAACTAAGTTATCTTTTCCTCTTGATTGTAAATTTATTCCAAATTTTGAAAAATTGAACAAACATTTAAATATCTCAATCAATGTTTATGACTATTCTGATGGTCATTTCTCTGTTTTAAGGACAACTAAAGAACAAAAACATAAACATATTGATTTGTTAATCATTCATAATACCAGTAATTTCCACTATTGCTTAGTGACTGACTTCTCTAGTGCATTTAGATCATCAATAACAAAAGATACTAAAAAACTTGAGTTCATTTGTAAACAATGTCTACAACATTTTTATAAAGAAGAGAGTTATAAGCTACATTTAGAACTTACTTGCACAGGTGTTTCATATACTTTCAAGGAAAAAGAGATAAAATTTAAAAATTTTTCAAATCGATGTCTTCAGAAATTTGTATCTTTTGGAGACACAGAATCTTTGCTAACTCCAATTTCAAATCCTTCACGTTTTGAAGAGAATAAATCATACACTGTTAAATATCAAAAGCACGTTCCATTTGCAATAGGTTTCTCATGGTACTCATTTAATAATGATTCTTATCTAGACAAAGTGCGTTTGTTTTATGGTGTTGACTGTGTAGAAAGTTTTGTAAATAAAATTGAGCAAGATGTTTTCTATATCTATAATAAATATTATTCAGTATTGCATCCAAGAAGTAAAATTTCAGAAGAAGCTTTATACTATCTATTTGAAAAAAACAACAAACAATGTCATATTTGTTTACAAAACATTGATTTTAATGATGTAAATTTAGTGCTTGATCATGATCATACAATACCAAAAAATTCCACACTTTCGGAATATAGAAATTGTAAATATTTTATTGGCAACAATAGAGGTAAAGTTCACTCAATGTGTAACATTCTTTATCAAGATAAACTTGTATTTAATTGCTATTTTCATTTTGGTATATATTATGATTTTCGCTTTATTGTACTCGCTCTCGCAAAGCTCAAAAAAAATATTTCAATTATTCCGCGTTCTACTGAAAATTATCTCTTAATTTCTTGGAGAATTTTTTTAAAAAAGGGTAAGTCGATTGAGATTAGAATAATTGATAGTTTTCAAATAATGAGTATGAGTTTATCGAGTTTGATAAACTCAATTGATAATTATCCGCTATTGGATAAATGGATTGAGAGTAAATATAATGTGAAAGATCTTGATAAAGACTTTCACCGCAAACAATTTTTTCCTTATGAACACTTTGTGAGCATGAATTCTTTAAATGAAACTGAATTTCCTCCACATTCAAGTTTTTATAGCTCATTAAGTCAAGAAAATATAACAGCTGATGAATATGAATATGCAAAGCAGCTTTTTTATAAATTTAAATTTAAGAATTTACAAGATTATGTTGAGTTTTACCTGGTTTCTGATATTTACTATCTAAAGGAAATTTTTCTTAATTTTCGGTTTTTTTTGTATGATAAATATAAGCTTGATTTGTGTTGGTACGTAAGCTTACCAAGCTTTTCGTATGATTGTGCATTATCAGTTTCAAATATTACGCTTGAAATTATGGATGATGTTAATATGATTACATTTATTGATCGTGGCATTCGAGGTGGTTTCGTAGGAGGAAATCAAATTTTAACAACAAGCAATAATAGCTATGATAAAGATTATGATTCAACAAAACCAGAATCACAGATTATAATAGCGGATTTCGTGGGTTTATACAGTTTCTCAATGGTAAACTACAAAATGCCAGTTAATCAGTACGAATGGGTTGAAGAAAATGAGCTAAAACTTATTGAAAAAAATCTTAGTCAATATGCAAACAATGAAAAATTTACTTACATCATAGAAGCTAACATTTCTTATCCAAAATCATTGCATGATGCACATAATTCATGGCCTTTATTATGTGAAAGAAAACAATACAAAGATGGAAAAATCTGGAAATTAGTTCAGAACCTTTACGACAAGAAAAATTATGTAGCACACATTAATATAATTCATTATGCAGTTACGAAAGGATTAATATTAGAAAATATTGTACGAGCAATCCGTTGTACACATAGTTTTTGGTTAAGAGATTTTATTGGAATGAATAATGAAATCAGATTGGATCCAAATCTTCCAAAATTTTATTCTACAGTAATTAAAATGTTATCAAATGCTACTTTTGGTGAGATTTTTTTTAGTTGACAAAAATCATAGATGTTTTAATGCTTAATATTTTTTTTAAGGTAAAATGATTGAATCATTGACTAAGAGACGAAAGATTAAACTTATTACAAATGAAAAAGATTTAATTAAATATGCTGCCTCCCCACATTTAAAAAACATTACTGTTTTCAATGAAAATCTTTTAGCTGTTGAGTTAGTAAAGGACTCAATAGTATTCAACCGTCCAAGAACAATTGGTCTGACAATACTCGAAAATAGTAAGCTGACGATGCAAGAATATTATTATGATAAATTAAAGAGTGTTTTGGGTGATATTTCTTATGAAACTAAATATGGAGACACGGATTCGATTTTTATCTATGTACAAGGGAACATGATGGCATTACTTAATTCTAATAAAACGCTTTTTGATACTTCGATTTTTCCAAAAGACAATAAATTTGGAATAATTCCAAGAAATCGCAAAAAGAATGGCTGTCTTCAAATCGAGCATAGTGAGATTGTCAAATCACTAATTTTTCTCTCATCTAAGCAATATGCAGTAAAGTTTGAAAATGATAAAACTATAAAAAAATCTAAAGGAACAGCTAAAGCTCTTTTAAACAAGTTAACTTATGAAGATTACTATAATATGATGCATGAAAAGGCTAAAAAATATCTATCTTCATATCATATTAGATCAAAAAAACTAGAATTATTCACCATAAAACAGAATAAAAGTGTGTTTAACTTCACTTGCAACAAGAGACATTTTAAACAAGATGGTAGTAGTTTAGCGTTTGGACATTATTCAATTCTTGATGTAGATCCACCTTTCTATGTCTAACATTAACCATCATCATCACTATAGCATTAATATTAATAACAACAATTAACAAAACCTATAAATAAATGTGTACAACAATAAAATAATTTAGTTTATATTTGACATTAATCAATTAAACATGAATACGGAAAAAGAAAAAAAAGAATTTACAATTCATCTCTTCAGCTCATCATCATCAGAGAAATTTAAAACCAATAAACTCAACTCATTTTGTACAGAGCTACCAAAGCCATTAATTTTTAATTCGAGTGAAGATTGGAGGGTTGGATTGCAGCAGATTTTTATTTCAAATAGTTACAAAGTGTCCGAGTCTTTATCTACTCGAGATAGTATCAACTTTATTGATCTAGATTATGAAAACTATTCAAAAAAAACAAATCAAAAGTTTGATTTAGATTTTTTAATTAATTATATGTTAGGACAAATAAATGACATTCACATATACAATGAAGAATATTTTAAGGAATTTATGAATAAAGATATTGTTTTTGAACACATTTTATCATTACGTCAATCATCACTTGGAAGCATGAGACAACTTCGATCTTCCACCACTGACGCTGCGAAATTTTTGATTGATTTTGGCATACCAAATCATCAACTAGAAAAGATTAATTTTGAGCTTGATTTCAAAAAAGACTCAAACAAATTCTTAAAAGCTCCATATGTTGAGTTTCATACAAACATTCCATATACTCTCTCACAAGTTCTTTACACAATTATTGAAATCATTATTAATAACTTATCGCCTCACACCTGGCACATGACTTCAAAACCCAATAATTTCATTCAACAATTATCCTCATCGACAACGAGAGAAATTTATGATGTAAAAACATTATCAAAAAAAATTGGAGAAAGTAAAAGAAGGGTTTTTGATCTGGTGACAACTTTTATAAATTTATTTATCCAAAAAGTATACAAATATCGTGATGAACGTCTTGGAAGTGTTGAAAGTGTCCTTAATCCAATTAAATCTCACTATATGATGGTCTATGTAGACTGTATATCGGATGTTATTTGTGGAGAGTCATTGGTTAAAGTGTTAAGTGTAATTCCAACGAGTTTCTTAGACAAGGGATATATTAATATTAATGAAATTCATTTTACTCCAATTTCTCAAACTTTTATTCAAAACATAAACGTAATAATTTCCGATGAATATGGACGTAATTTTTCTTTAAAACCATCAACTTGTAGCTCATATTTGGCTTTAAAATTTAAAAGATTTTAGGCTAAACCGTATGAATGACAATTTAAATCATTAAACAAAATAAAATATGATGGTTGTTTGCAAAAAAGACAATATGAATTTACGTCTTGAACAAATTTATGTAGATCCACAAATTGTGAATTATCAAAAGCAAAATATTTTTCTTCTTCTCGTTGTGCGTTACATTTCACACAAAGATTACTGATTGTTGTTATCTGAAAGATATAAAAACGCCCATCCAAATTGCATTGCTTCAAAACATGATAAAACTCTTCGGCTGAAACTGTTGTTATCCAATCACGCATCAGTAAAGGCAAAATTGGTTGATGTTTTCGAAAATATGTAATTAAATCTTGTTTTAAATGTTGCAAATATGAGTTATGAGGTGTAAAATTTTCCTTGTTTTCTTTATTTGGATAAATTAAACCTTGTAAATAATATTCTTCCAACCGCTTCTTTACGCTTTCAAAATTTCTGCACTCGTTCATGCTTGGCTTACACGGATCAATGTTGATTGTAAAAAAAACCCCTCTCAACTAATAATGTGTTCTTAAAACATAAGCTTTTATACACAGTTGAGCAGAAAAAAAAAAACCTGAAATAAACTCATTACATGTAAATTAAATGCAAATTGGTTTTTGTTATAAATGATTTTACGCATTTATTTTTCTCATTGCGCTTACATTGTATCACACAGTTGCAAAAAAAAAAACATGTTAAAGTGCAAATTATACAAAATTAAAAATACAATAATTGTAAAAAAGTAATCTAATCATTATAAAACTGACGCTTATTTTTCATGTCAATGTCGAAACTATAAGTTGGAATGCTATATTCAGAAGATTCATCTATTGCGTCACATTTAAACTTGAATGTTTCAAATTTAGCCTCAGAACACTCCTTAATCATCTTAAAAGTTTCCTTGTCCAAATATTTTGGTGACAAATAAACCTTCTTCAACTCTGGCTTCTCAAAATTTTCATCTCCTTCCTTTGGATCTCCCTCCTTTGGTTCCTTGTAACAATACAACACAACTTTATCCTCTCCCTTTTTAGTTTTTCCAATTTCTGCTTCGACAATTACGTGTACATCAAATAATTCACTCGCCGTCAAAATTGGACAATATTTACTTCTTGCTTTCTTGTTAAGCTTTTTTATATATTCCTGATAATTCGGCATGATTTGCTTTTGATGAATCTATTGATGTTACTTGAAAAGTTAAAGTCGAATTAATTTTTAATGTTTCAACTCACCTTTTTATATTTAATTTTTATACAGTACTTCTTCCTCTACTCTTTTCCCCTTCCATTGATTTGTAAGCCTCAAAAGTGAAATTTATAAACCTTTAACCACGAATTAGTTACTAGCCGCTAGGAGCTAGCCGCTAGCCGCTAGCAAATAGTTGCTAGTTTCTATGTGCTTACGCGCGAAAAAAAGGAGGCGAAAGAATTATTTTGGATCGTTAATTGTTGATGACTCTTTGTAAATAAGCAAGTCTAATATCACGACGAATCTGATTTTCATTCTCGTGTTCATCAATGTTTTGTAATTCCAATGTGAAAGCACCTCCACGATTGAAAAATATATCAATAATTACGAAATTTTGATTGCGTAAATGATTTTTTCTGGGTACAATATAAACAATTTTTTTGTATGAATCCACAAAGACATTTAATTTAAATTGAACAGCAATAGCTTTCGGACGAGTTTCACCAAACTCAATGTAACCCTCGAGCTCACCAGATTGTAACTCACACACATTTTCATCAAAATCTTCATTAATTCTATCAATTTTCCACCCCAATGGTCTCGAGAAGAGTTCAGTATTTTGTGGATAGAGACAAATTTGTGGGTGGGAATGAATATCCTTATGATATCGAACGGCTGTAATATGCTTAAAAATTGTCTCACATTCTTGTATTTTAAAGTTCATATAATTTTCATATTTTAGAATGAATGAACACTCGCTGATTGTTGTCGATGGTTCACAACTGTTTCGTAAACATTTTTCATAATTGGGTGATTCAGACCGAAATCTACGCCTCATCAAAAAAGACATTTTCGTTATTCACTTCTTTCACAAAAATTTGATATGTTTTTCTCGCTATTGTTATTCGCAAATTCACATGTGTTGAAGTTTTTGTAGAACGTTCACACGGTATCCAAACAAGTCGTCTTTCTGAATCAACATAAACGTCTATCATAAATTCAACTTCAACACATTTTGAATGAGAAACTCCAAAATTAACAACACTATAAAGTTCAGCTGGTTGTAAGTCAGTATAACTACACAAATTATACTGCGGTTCCAATTTCCATCCACTCGGATATGTTTTAAAGTTTTTATTTTCTGGATATAGATAGTATTTAGGTCTTTCATTAATGCTACGATGAACTCGTATTGCATAAATGTGTTTAAAAATAACTTCAGATTCTTGAATTTTGAAATTTCTATAAGCATCAAATTTTAAAATCAAACTACATTCACTAAAAAACGTACAGGGTGCACAATTAATTTGATAAGTATTTAATATATCATCAGCACTTCGAATTATAGAAGGATTCATTTTTAACAATTAAAAAATGTTTGATAGATCTAAAATTGAAGGTGAAGGAATTTCAGTGTCTAAATTCATTGTGAAATTTTGTAAGTTTAAACTATTTCTAAGCTCATTTCCATATTCTTCAATATCTTCTTCTAGTTTTCTCTTCAAAATTATTGGTATTTTCATAAATACTTCAAAATAATCTAGTGGAAATGGAATTTGAGAAGTATTTTTCGACATGCTTGAAAGATAGTCTATAGTTAACACATCAGCATTTTGTTCATAACACAATTTAACATATTTTTTATAGAAAACCTTAACACTTTGACGATTCACACTTAATTTCGAATTGTAATAATGCACAAATCCGAGAATTTCCTCAAGAGATTCTAAATCACTTAATGATAAAATACAACTTTTATATGTATTTTTATCAGTAATTTTTATAAAACTTCTAAAATTATTAACCACAAATCTAATTACTTGATTTTTAGAAATGTGAATGGGTTTTCTTCCATTTTCTAATAAACTCTGTTTATAAGCAGTTAAATTTGCAAAAAATTCTTGTCCTGTAATCCCATCCAGTTCAATGTAGCCTGATTTTGTTTTAAAAATGTTTGTAAAGAGAAATTTTGTTTCAAATTTATCATTATATCCAATAATTAATTTTTTAGAATTAAAAAAGCTAACTGAAGAAGCAAGATAATGAGGAAATGAAGCCGTTGTTTTATTTGATTCAAACACTTTTGGTATTTTTTTTTTCTCACAATTTTTGTAAAGTCTTAAATTTTTTGTTTGCACTTTAGTCTTCATACTTAATTCAGCGTTGAAACAAAACTAGAAGAAATTATATAACAACACAAATTTAAATAATTTTTTAATAAATAAAGGGGAAAAATTTTATTGAAGCATTAGTGTATATTTGAGTTGCAATGAAACTACACGCTCCATTTCGAATGATAATTAGTGGTGCAAGTAATACAGGCAAGACGTGCCTTGTAGAAGAATTAATCAAAAATAGAAATAAATTTATTGATGAACCACCAAACATAATTCATTACTGTGCAAAATTTGTTTCAGCAATTCCTGATTCTTTAAAAAAAATTGTAAATTATCAAGAAGGCATGATAACTGAGGATTTTTATGAAAAGTATTCAAAAAATGTTGCAGTTTTATTGGTAATCGATGATATGATGTCTGAGACATCAAAAAGTGGATTTTTAAGTAGTATGTTTTTCAACTCACGCCATAAAAACATATCAATTATTTACATTCAACATAATATTTTTCCAAACAATCAAGTTTCGAGAGATATAAGCTTGAATTGCAGTTACTTAATAATTATGCGAAATTGTAGAAATCCATCACAAATACTCACACTTTCAAGACAAGTAAATCCTCTTTCCCCTCATTCTCTTGCGCGAATTTATTTCACTTTTATTAATAAAGCATACGCTTATTTGTTTTGTGATTTTATGGTCTCAACACCTGATTGTTTGAGATATAGATCAAATATTTTTTCTGAAAAAATTGAAATTTTTATGGATGAATTTGAACGAGAAAAATTACTAAACATAAATCAAGAACATTATGAAGGCATTAAAATTTTAGAATAGAAAGAGTATAAATAGAAAGATTATTATAAAATAGAAATTAGATCAATAATGAGTTCAATTGCGTGTAGATGTAGACATCCAATTTTTAGTGGTAGTGGATTAGGTGATATAAGATTGTATAAAAGTTCACCGCGTCTTCAGTACGGAGCAAATATTCGCTTAGTAGAAGGGAGAAATCTTGGTGGGGCATTCACTCGTTTCTTTAGATATATTGCACCCATTGTACAAAAAGCATTACCGTTTATTAAATCAGGTGCAAAAGCAGCTGGAAAAGAAGTTTTACAAGGTGGTCTTGAAATATTAGAAAATATTAACGATAAACCTTTAAAAGATTTAATGAAAGAACAAACAAAGAAACGCGTTCAAAATTTGAGTGAAAAAGCTGCTCAAACTTTGAAAAAAAATCTAAGTGAAGGTAGTGGAAGGAGAAAAAAGAGAAAAGCAAAAAAAGTTGTTAATGGAAAGGGCTTAAAAAATAAGAAAAAAAACAATAAAAGAAGAAAAATGCAAGCTGAAAAACTCATTCAAGGTGTAGTTTTGAGGAAAAGAAAACCTTCAAAAGCTGTGAAAAAACGTAAAATTCCAATAAATAAAAAAAATAAAACAAGTAAAAAAAATCAAAAGAAATCCAACGTTTTAAAGTACTTTGAATAAATAAAATGGGTGAATTTATTCCATCAGAATTAATGATTTTTGAAAAAAAACCTAATCAAGTGGCGATAGATAGTTCGGAATTTGTGAAGGTTTCTAGTGTCAACTCTATAGAAAACTCAAATATTGTTGAATTTCGAGATCTTGGTAGTGCACGAGCCTTCAAAGCACTTAGTCAAACTCTTTTGGTAGCGGATATTCAAGTCATTAAATCAGATGGAAAATTATACACTTCTGAAGATAGTAAACAACCAACTTTAGCCAACAACATTCTAGCGTCTCTGATTAAATCAATAAGTTTAAGTTTAAATAATGTTAATGTTGTAACTATAAGTGAAACATATGCACAACGTGAGTATATAGAAGATGTTTTGAATTATAATGAAGAAACAGTTAAAAATAAACTATGGATGCAAGGATTATATCCTATTGAAACTGCGGCTGAAAAAATAAAAGAGAGTACGAAAAATTCGAAAATTATACAATTAATTACAACTTTGAATCTTTGCACAACATCAAAATTATTAATTCCAAATGTTGATATTTACATAAAATTGGAGCTTGCTAATGCAGCATTTCCAATCATTGAAGATGATACAAGTACTTCAAAAATTGTAATTAAAAATATTTATCTTATGATGAAATATGTTTATTGTAAAACTGGTTATAATATGTTTGTTGAAAGAGAATTGAGTGATAAAACAAAGGCTGTTTATGACTTTAAAAGCTCTCTCATTCTCAATTATACTTTACCAAACAATACTACTGAATTCTCAATTCCTTCTATTTACACGGGTGCTAAACCAAGTTTTGTTTTAATTGCTTTTGTAAAAACATCTTCATTCTTGGGCGATAATAAAGAAGATCCTCATAAATATCAGATTTTTGATATGAATAAGTTTAATTTTATACTAAATGGTCAATTGCATCCAAAAACACCATTTGTTTTTAAAAATGATGAAACTGAACAGAAAATTGCGAAATTGTACATGAATTTACAACATTCTATTGGAATGGATTGTAATAATGAATCAAATTTGGTTACTCAGAAAAACTTTACAACAAATAATTTCTTTATATCATTAGATTTATCTAGTTTTAACTTTGCTTTAAGTGATATTAATGAAGCTACAGAAAATGTAAATTTAGGATTTTCTGTTGTTTTTAGCAAACCAACTCCACATCCAATTACAGCTTTACTCTATATTCTAAGACCAAGATGTTTTGAAATATCACCTGCACGTGTTGTAGATGTGATTTATTGAGCGTTGAACTTTCAACTAGAATAGTTGTAGAAATGAAGCGTTTGCATAATAATCTTTACTTACTCAAACATTTTAATAAATTTAATAAAAAACAAAAGAAAGCAATTCAAAAAAATTTAGATTTAGATCAATGTAAATTTATTATTGAACTTATAGGAAATATAATTAATAAAAATTTAGAAATTGACTCAAAAACTAAGGATAAATTATCGAAATATAAAAAAAAAATTAATTTTTTATTAACTAAGAAATCTTTACGCAAAAAAAAACCAATTTTAATAAATGGAGGTTTAGTTCCAGCAATATTTGCTAGTATGATTCCATTAGTTGTTGAGCAGCTCATCAAGTATGTTAAAAAAGAAAGTTAAAGTTTTTAAATATTATTTATTGTCTCCAAATACTTTACATAAAATGATGAATGGGGAAACTATTGAGAGTAAAATATTAGAAATTTTAGATAATAATTTGATTAATGATGAAGCTAAATTAACTAAAATTCACTCATTAATTTCTCAAAAGAATCAAAATAATGAAAAGGAAAAAAATGAAGAAGAAGGAGAAGAAGAGACAAAAAATGAATCAAGTTCAATTAATAATAGCATTGTAGAAAATGAAAAAAGTGAATTTATACCAATTATAACTTCATCTCCATCAAAAAAAAAGAAACAAATTGATGAAAACATTATTTCTATTTCATCAGACTCTTCCAACTTAAAAAGTATTGATAAATCTATAAATTCTGATAAAGAAAGTGATTTAGATCTTTCAGCAGGAATGAAGTCTTTTTTAAATAACTTACAAACAGAAGCTCAAAATGATAAATTAGATTTAAGAGATCTATCATTCTCTTCATTGAATGATGATAAGCATTGGACTAAAGTTAGAGATAAAAAGAACAATTTTTATTATTACCCTGAAAAGCCTAAAACTTTTGTAAAATATCCTAAAACTTTAGAAGAACTTCAATCAAAAAAAAAAACAAGAAAACAAGAATTAGAAGCACAAGCTAACAAATACAATAGCTCAAATTTTCTTTCTCGTTGGTCTGAGTATGAAAATATTGTCCTTAAACGAAAACATCAACACGATCTTGAGAAAAAAACGAAATCAAGAAGACCATTGTAAAGTATAAATAGAACAAACTCATCCATACATTGAATTAGTGTGACGTTAGTTGCAAAGATGAAAGCTATTGGGCTCATAAAATTTGATTGGTGGGGGTTGGATGGTGATGAAGAGAAATATAATTACATCACTAAAGTTGAAATTGAGATAATTGAAGCTGGATTTAAAAAATCTAAGCAAGTATTTTCATATCCATCATTGAATTTACTAAAAGATGAGTTAATTGATGGTGAAATTTGTACATCAGTCAGTAAAGATGCAAAACAACGTATAGTATCAAACTTTGAGATACATGAAGTAAATCAAAAAATTCGAAAACAAATGGAGATTTTTAAATTTTCATACATATTTGTGAATAGTGAAGTTGAAAAATCAATAATTGAAAAATTAAAGCCTAATCATTGTATTGTGAAAGTTTTTGGAGAGAACTAATGAATAATTTAGAGATTGAAGCAATTTTATTTACAAACAAATCAACAAGAAAGTCTTTTATTGGAGCATTTACTCCAAATGATTTGGATAAATTGGGAAAATTTAAAAATAAAGCATCTTTTGTAATAAATATATGTCCTTCATGGTCTTCAACATGTCATTGGTCAGCTGTCACTTTAGATAAAAATTCCATAAACTATTTTGACTCGAGTGGAACAAAAAGTTTTTTAATAAATCCAAAAATTAGAAATTTTTTATTAAGACAGAATAGAAAAAAAGTTGTTGTGAATCATACTTGCATACAAGCTGAAACATCTGATTTATGTGGATTATTTTGTATAATGTATATTTTTTTTATTTCAAAGGGGAAAAATATGAAATATTATGTTAAAAAATTTATAAAATATAATAATCTTAAGAAAAATGATAAAATTGTATTAGATTTATTCAAAAAACATATGTAATCACTAAAATTAAGTTTTTTTGTATTGATTTTTTTATTTTTTTTTATATGGTAAATAAAAGGTGATGGGGGAAAAAAAATATAATGTTTTCATATTTTTATTGTTTCAGTATTTTGAATATAAAAACATTGATTGTTTATGTTGATGTGTTAATGCTATTGGAAAAGTTGAAGTGATGGGTAGGGGGAAAAAAAATGGAGAAAACTTGCGAAGCAAAATTGTTGAAGAAATGTATAAACCCATAAGAGTACATTTCAAAACTCGTAAAGTTAATGTTAGAGGATATGATGATTTACTTGGCTTAGATTTAGCAGATTTAAGTAAACTTAAAAAGCATAATAAAGGTTATGCTTATTTTTTATTAGCTATAAATTGTTTTTCACGTAAAGTATATACAATGCCATTGAAAAATAAAACAACAATTGAAGTTGGAAAAGCAACCATTAAAATTTTAGAAAAATCAAAAACCAACTTTAAATTAATTTGGACTGATCAGGTATAATTTATTACTTAATATTTTTTTAAAAAATTAAATTTTTGTTTAAATTTTAGGGTAAAGAGTTTTACTCAAACTGGTTCAACGAAAATGTTTTAAAACCTTACAACATCCACCACTATTCAACGAAAACCGATAAAAAAAGCTGCTTATCTGAAATATATATAAAACATTTAAAAGTTTTAATTTACAAATACATGGATCTTCATGGCACAAACACATGGTATGATGCATTAGAAAGCTTAACTGAAAAACTCAACAATAGAAAACATAGTCGATATGGCTTTATACCAAATAAAGTAACTCGAGCAGATGAAAAGCGTCTACTTAAAATGTATAATAAACCTTTTCAAAAAGCTAAAAATATACGTTACAAAGTGAACGATCAAGTGCGTATTCAAGTTGCACCAAAGCTTTTTAGACGAGCTTTTCATCCATATTGGAGCAGTGAGCTTTATACAATTAAAGCTGTAAATATTAAAGACCCAGTAATGTATACTTTGTCGAGCTTTGATGGAAAAATACTTCCACGCAGGTTCTATCAAGAAGAATTACAAAAAACTAAAGTGAAAGATCATTGGCTAGTTGAAAAAATAATAAAGACAAGTGGAAATAAAGTTCTAGTACGATACTTTGGATTTGGTAAAGAATATGATGAATGGATCGATAAAGCAGACTTATACGATGCAGAAAAAAAATAAGCTTTTAAGTTGTGCTTTTTTGTGGAATTTTATTTTATATGCTAAGCTTTTTAAGTTTAAGTTGTGCTTTTTTGTGAAATTTTATTTTATATGAAAATAAAGAGCTTTGATATTTAATAACAAAGATAATATTACTACTCACACAGTTTGGACAACACTGTCTTAGATTAATTGAGACCAAGAGATCCAACCATCTCCTTCAACCTTTTGATAGAATTATTGATTAGTACAGTGTTGATCAAACTGTATGCCAAGGCACCCCCTAGCTTATCCTGCTTAGCTTTTACCCTAGCTGGCTTACCCCTAAGGTGTGCCGTGGCTTTAAAAAGTTTGGACAATACTGGTTTGGTAGGTTGACTGGACATCCCTAATTACGGACCCTAGCAAGCTATAACTTCTCTTTGTGATGACCATCAGATTTGCAGAAAAGCAGAGCCAAGACACCAAAAAATTCATATCCATAACACACAAAATCCAGCAACATTTCAAATGAGCTTCTCCTAGATTTTAATTCCATCTTTAAAACACTTGAGCGCTTAAATCTCTTAAACCTTTTTTTTAATACATTAGCTAAGCACATGCATGAATGAAATATTTTCATTTAACTGTTGATGAGCATCTTAATTTATGAAAATGCTTTGCTATGATGAGATCAAGAGATTTTTTACAATTCATAACGTATCACATATGGGATCATAATGCTTGTGTTAATACTCATTTTAAAATCTACTTAATGCTTGCATTTGATGAGATGAAAATATTATTTTTCGTTATGTGTGAATTTGTAAATTTTTAAGATACTTAATGGTGTTAAGCGTAAATATTGACTATTTAGAAAATTACTTTTTTTTTCAAGAAGCTTAGTAAAATTGTTATTGCTGAAGAGATTTTCATGCATCTTTCTACTTTAACGGGTTGTTGTGAATTTAAGTTGTGCTTGATATTTCAATGAAATTAAGTTGAGTGATGTTGAGTTCATTGAAACATAAATGCTAACCTAGATTTTCTATTCTTAAGGTTTATTTAACAATTTTTAAAGAACATGTTGCTTCTCAGTTATCCAATCCCTTTTTCTTCGAACTTACACGGTCGTATTTAACCTTAAAGTGAATGTGGTAACATTCAGAAAATTTATAAAACTTTGGTAGACAAATTTCTAAGAAAAAAGTCTATGCAAGAATCACAAATTTATTTTTATACTCATTATACTTGCAATTTTGTAAAAGGTTATAAGTTTTATTCAAGTTTTAAACTGATTAAAAATCTAATGTCATCAAAAAAGAAACAAAAAAGAAGCATTCGAGCAAAAAAGAACTTCGCCCCTAGGTGGACTCGAACCACCAACCTTTCGGTTAACAGCCGAACGCGCTAACCATTGCGCCATAGAGGCAAATTATTTGATTGATAAAGTTTCGATTATTGACTTATTAATTTTACCCAAGAAAATTTAATACGTTTTTGAAAAAACGGGAACTGTTCATAAATAACATTCATAAAAAAAAAATGAAACTTTCTCTCATTCTTATGACAAAATTGGGATGAATTAAAATTTATTTTTTTTATTCGTCACAAAGCTTCAAAATCTTCTCTTGTCGACGTTATTTATGAACGGTCCCTAAAAGTATTGATTGGCAGCAATCTTTATCTTTGTTCTCTTGCTACACAGCTTGACTACACATATATTTTTTTTAAAAAAATAATTTTTTCGAGTTATCATCTTCAACAGATACTACATTTGTAAATGAATATTGATAAGAAGAAATTGTTTTAAATGTTTTGAGCTACCAGAACATTATTCGGTTCTTAAATCTATATAGCGGCTGATAAAAAGTATGAGCATAGGCTCTGAGTGCTCGTTTGGGTCTGAGTCAGGTGCGTAGCTAGGTGAAGGGAGAGATTTGGGTAACAATAGAAAATCTTTTTACGTCAACAGATATTTGTTCGTTTTGCTAGAATTTTCATGAAAAAAAAAGATTTCCATTCAAAAAAAATTTTTTCCTCTTCCTATTTCTGGCTGAAAACCCTGACGCCCCTGGTCTAGGTGTTTTCTCTTGTATGACCTTATACTCAGAAAAAGTGCAGAGAGTATACTGGTCATTCACTAAGGGGCCATCCACTTACAACGTCCAGAGGGGGGGGGGGCAATAGAAATTTCTGAAAATCCATTGTTCTTTTTTGAGGAATGACTGTTAATATCGGACGTCATAAGTGAACGACCTCTAATGACGTCTATCAAAAAATATTATTTATGACCCCCCCCCCCCCCCTGTCAGCTAGTTTCTTTTGTTTTAGCTGTCAAAAAATCCTAGACCCCCTTAAATCTTGACGTGATAAGTGAACGACTCCATAGTTCTACTGTAGCTCAGGTCGCCCTATACTAGCTTCACCACTCAAGCAAATAGACGCAGCTAGTAACCATTTACCATATTACATAAGCATAACTTAGCTCCAGTTTCACTCAATTTCAAACAATAACCCTTATTAGTTCCATAGCAAACACGGTAAATATTGAATTTCACTGAGCATCCATTGTTGAATTATTGCCTTAAAAAGTGAATATAAAATAAAAACACATAAAAGTGTATCTATAAATAAATTTTAAAAGATTTACTTGAAAAAAGATCAACTACTAATGAATGCATGGAATGAAATAATAACGAACTAGATGGATGAATTCATAACGAAAATTAATTTCAAAAATATTCAATTCACTTTTAGATTTTTACTTTCATCTTTGAATATATATTTTTAAACAAGAAACAAAAATAGCATGTATGGAAACTAATAACAACGTTGTATAATGATTGAATGAAAAAAATTAACGTAAAGTACATTTTCACAGCATCAACATATTTAGCTTCACACATTTTCACATATAGTTCAGTTAGTTCATTTAATAAATCCCATAATAAACATGCAGCATAACAGAGGAGAGTGAAACAATAGCATGAACTAGGGATGGAGCTAGGCAAGGGGGGAGGGGGGGGGGGGGGAATTTTGACTTATTTGATAGGGATCTTTGAGAATCTACTAGAAAAGCCTTATAAAAATTTTGTAGCATGTCTGCCTCCACCCCTGCCACAAACAGCATCAGCAGCTTTCTTTAATGATGAAAATGTGGTGTTATTGCGCACTGTTTGTTGTTGTTGCATAAATTGCACTTTTTTTCATTCATTCTCTCTCTTATTTCTTTATGTGTCGAAAAACTATTTTTATGATCTCTCTTTTATTTTTATATTTTTTAAACATTTTTATTCTCCTTGCTCCGCTTTTCATCGTTTTTATTGTATTGTAGTTCGTGCGGTAAGTGAAAGTTTATTGTTGTGATTTTTTTCTATATGCACTTTTTTTTACGTTATTTATGATGCTTTATAACTCTTTTAGATATATTTCATCTACCCGTATCTATATATCTATAGGTTTTCTAAGCCGTTGTTGCTTAATTATTATGTTCTATGGTTCCCACTTTGTCTGGAGATTTAATTTTTTATTGCATTTGTCGTTATTCATTTATTTTATGACTGTTGTATTAGGGGCCGTTCACTTATGATGTCCAGGGAGGGGGGGGGGGGGGGGTCAGCAAGAAAAGAACAATAGAAATTCCTGGAAATCCATTGTTCTTTTTTGAAAAATGAACGTTAATTTCGGACGTCATAAGTGAACGATCCCTTAGGAGATAGAGCAATGATTCTAAGGAATTAAGCAGAGATGGTATTCCCTGGCAAACTTTTGTCTTCTATAATCGAATCAGGCATTCACTTGCTGTGTTCCCTCGATCCATCCTGATGGGGGTTTGAGGCATTTTGGAACTTGATTAGTTTTAGACTGTGTTGTAAAAGTTACTATAGACTCCCTGCTCATGTTTCCAGATTAATAGCTACCATTTTGTGAACTTTAGTTGATCTTAATATCGAAATTTTAAACCTGGATGGGATATTGCGTCGAATAGTCCAAAAATACCAAGCTTGCGTGGGGTCAGCACATACCCTTTCGAGCATCAGGCGCGTAGCCTGGGGGGGTTAGGGGGGGTTATGAGAAATCCCCCTTCGTCTTGAAAAATTCTTCATTTTGCTAGATTTTTTATGAATAACTCGAAAAAATACCCCCCCCCCTAAAAGTTTTCCATACAAAAAAAAATTGTCCCCCCTCTTTTCAAATTCTTGGCTACCCCCCTGTCGAACATACTCAATCTAGTAAGGTCATAAGTTCTCTAATAATCCCGAAAAAAATTCAATATAACTTCCCCAAAAAGCGCTTAAACTAAACAACAACTTAACTTTAGTATCTAAACTATTTCTCTCATTTACAAAGCGCAAAAAAAACACTCTGAGGGAGTGGAGAAGAAAGAAATCATTTATTATACCAGCATTATTATTATTATGATGATGATGATGAAGTTTATGTTGCAAAACAATTCTACGAGGCATGAATATATAAAATGGAATAAAAAATCCATTCTTTTATAGATTTAGTAGACATTATAAAGTCCTTTTCATGTTTATACAAAACTGCTTTAAAGAAATGAGTGAAGGAAAAAATAGTTTTTATGATAATGCAAAGCAATATAAAAAAGCAATTTCATAAGACATGAACAGGAGCATTTGAATTGCGAGGTTTAAGCGCTACAAGTGACATACAGAATTGCTTTTTATTCTGTAATATTATGAAACTACTACTGTTGGTAAATTGAATATAAAATAGAAGTAAGACAGAGAGAGGAAATTATGTGAAGGTCGGAAAGGGTTATAAAAAGGGTTTTTATGAATACACATTATGGACTTTTTATTCATTGCGCTGTTTTATTGGATATGAAGTAGAATTTGGGATGGTTTTGTAGGTAGACTGAGTGGCTAACTCAATAACTTAATAAAAGATTGACTAAGGTGCAAGCAAGTATAGAGAAACCCTCCCGCTTACAAAAATCCATCAATTCACATCATATTCACTCTTCCACAGCTAATCCTTCCTTCAAAATAAAGCTCCAACATCTTCCTTCTTTC